AAAAAAAAAAAAAAAAAAGAATATGCAGTGCATTCAGAACACAAAGTTGTTTGTTGTTGTTGTTCGTTTCAACAAACTTCCTGGTTTTTCCCGTAAATAGTATCGCTTGTTCAAAACACTATCCCCATTCGCCAGGGTCAGCACTTCGAGACCTTGACCTTTGAATTCTGGATCGGATGGGGAGGTGGGCACTCAGCCTCAGGGACTCTTGGGTGCCCCCTAAAAACCAGAAAGCAAGGGTGGGAAGAATTGGGTTTTGAAGGCCGAGAAGGGGCGGGCAGGAAGCAATTGCCAGGAAGCGGTTGGGCAATCCTGCCCCTGCCCTTCGCTGCCCGGCCGGGCTGTGTCCCTATGAGGAACAAGAACAGGGTGGTGCGGGGACTTCCTCTTGTCTGAACCCTGCCCCCAAGCCAAGCAGGTATAAGACCACCAGCCCCAGGCCCAGGAATCCCAGAGGAAGAAGAGAAGAGCCACCATGTCCCCTCGGAGCAGAGAGCAACAGCAGAGGTAGGTCCCCAGCCCGTCCTTCCTGGGCACGTGGACACTGTGACCAACCCACTGAAGTCACAGGGGACAGACAGTGGGAGAGGACCCCATCAGAGCTCCCAGGATTATGACGCCCGTGTAAACCACCCCTCCCAAGACCAAATGCCCACTTCAGACCTGCTGAAAGCAAGACACGCTTTCATGTTCATGGTCCTGTTTTTGCAGCTGGAACCCTGAGTTTACTCAGAGGCCTCTGGAGCTTTAAGGAGAGAGAAGAAGCTCAGAGCAGGAGCTCCTTCTTTGTTGGGAAGAAAATTTTAAAAGGCTCCATGGAAAAGAGGGCATTTAGGGGCTGGGGATTTAGCTCAGTGGTGCCACACCTGCCTTGTAAGCTCAAGGTCCTGAGTTCGATCCCTAGTACCAAAAAAAAAAAAAAAAAAGAGGGGATTTGGCCTGGGGATTTGCAGGATGAATAGGAGTCCACTGGCTGTTCCATTAAAATATGGAACTAGGGAGAGAAGGACTGACCCTGAAAATAAACCAAATCACAATTAGCTAACAGTTTGGACTGGGAATCATTAATAGCCCATTAGGGCTGGGATGACAATGGGGAAGACTAGTATGTAGGAATCAGACTCAGAAACTCAAGAGTCAATAGAATTCTTCCAGGAAAAATAGGTCCTTCTGGCAGCTACAGGGGTGGATAGAAGGCTGGAGAGGAAGAGGGAGTGACCATACTGCACTGGTCCAGGCGACAAGGAGTGGTAGCCATAGAGATGGGAAGAAAGGGCAGGTTCTGGGTGTATTTCACTGTGGCTCATTGTACATGTGTCATTGCTCCCAGAACAGGGGGCTGCAAGCCCTGCCTTTCGAGAACCCTGTTCCTGCTAGTGCTGTCTGTGGCCTCAGCCCAGGGGGACATCCCAAGCCCCAGAGAGTGCCTGACGTACCAGTCGGACAGCGGCAGCTCTGTCTCCTGCTACTCACCCTCCACGTTCCCCAGCCCCCTCCCCGGGGACACCACACACCTGTCTGTGGAGTTCTCCAGCCTGACCCAGCTGCCAGCTGATGCCCTGCGGGGTGCCCCCGGCCTCCAAGAGCTGCATCTTTCCAGCAACCATCTGGAGGAGCTGCCGGCCAAGCTCCTGGTGCCCGTGCCTGGCCTGAAGGTGCTGGATCTCACGAGAAATGCCCTGACTCAGCTGCCCCCTGGCCTCTTCCAGGCCTCAGCCGCCCTGCACACGCTGGTGTTGAAGAACAACCGGCTGCAGGTCCTGCAGGCCTCGTGGCTGCGCGGCCTGAAGGCGCTGGGCTTCTTGGACCTGTCTGGGAACCGCCTCCGAGCACTGACCCCTGGGCTGCTGGCCAACTTCAGCTTCCTGCGCACCCTGGACCTCGGGGACAACCAGCTGGAAGACTTGCCAGCTGACCTCCTGCAGGGCCCGCTGGACCTGGAACGGCTGGATCTACAGGGCAACCGATTGCAGGTGCTTGGTGAGGACCTGCTCTCGCCCCAGCCCGGCCTGCGCTACCTTTTTCTCAGTGACAACAGGCTGGCCTTGGTGGCGGCTGGCGCCTTCCGAGGCCTGAGGCAGCTGGACATGTTGGACCTCTCCAATAACTTCCTGAGCACTGTGCCCAAAGGGCTCTGGGCATCCCTGGGAAAGCCCGCCCGGAACATGCAGGAAGGCTTTGACCTATCCGGCAACCCCTGGGTCTGTGACCGGAACCTGGATGACCTCTTTCGCTGGCTGGTGGCCAACAGGCACAGGATGTTCTCCCAGAATGGCACCTGCTGCGCCGGCCCGGAAGCCTTGAGGGGCCAGGCACTCCTGGCAGTGGCAGGGTCCCGCTGAGGTGTGGGGCTCTTGGCACCCCACTTTGTAGATGCTCCCGCCTTCTGTGGCTGAGATCCAAGGCTTGCTGGTGCTGCTAGGACCCATTTGGGCCACGCTCCCCCAAATCTATGGTGTGCTTTCCAGTTTTCCTGCCTTTGCTCACCCTGTGCCCTCGAGCTGTGACGCTGTCCTCGGTTGCCAGCATCGCTTGGTCTCTGGGCTCCCACAGACTCGATGTCCCTCTCCCTGGCCGAGTGCCGACCTCACCAGAGTTGTCTCCGACTGCCTCATCTTCCCCAGTTTAGGGGGCTCTTGAGTCCTGAGCCTGGGGCCCAGCTCCCTTGAGCCAGAATCACCCCAGCGTGTTAATAAATAACTGTTGAACGGAATGGGATAAATCACAGTTGGGGGCTTCTTTCTTTCTTTTTTTTTTTGGTACCAGGGATTGTACTCGGGACCTTGGACTTGTGTGTCAGGCGCTGGAACCACTGAGCTAAATCCCTGGCCCCTATTCAGGGTTTCTTGCCTTTCCCCAATAGATGTCCTTGGTCCCCAGGATGTTAATGTCTTTTTGGGGGGTTTTTTGGTATCAGGGATTGAACTCAGGTCCTTGCGCTTGCGCAGCAGGTGGCGAAACCACTGAGCTAAATCCCGGCCCAAACCCCAGGATGAAAGAGAAAAACTGAGAGGCGGGACTCAGAGCCTGGGGGTCACTCATGGACGGCACTTGAGATCAGATGGCCACTGGCTTCTCTCCCTCCCCCATCCCAGGACTTCGTTGGAAATAAAACCCTGACCATTTGCCTGCGTGTCACTTTACAGGTGGATTTTGGCCAGAGCTTGTGTCCCAGATTGCTCTGGTCTCTGATGTGTCATGCTGACCTAGGACATCAGAGGACATCTGCCCAGGGCACCAGGGGGCCTGATGGGGCAGAGGGCATGGCGGGGACCCAGGGGGCTGTTCTCATAAGTCAGATCTGGAGTGTCCTTTGCCAACGCAGAGGTGGGCATGTGGGGCTGAGGGAAGCTTGGAGGGCCTGGGGAGTTAGGCTTTTCAGCCCCTAGATGAAGGGTCATGCCTGGTTGGAAGGCAAGGGCCTGGGATCGAACAGAGCTGGATTGCAATCAGATCCTTTCCTCTCTATGGACTCAGGGCAAGTGGTTTAAGCATTCGGGCCTCGATTTGCTCATCTGTAAAATGGGGATCCAAGGGCCAGGCACGGTGCCACACACCTATAATCTCATGATTCTGGGAGGCTGAGGCAGGAGGATTGCCAATTTGAGCCCAGTCTCAGCAATTTAGCCATTTAGTGAGACCTTGTCTCCAAACAAGAGGGGCTGGGGGCTGGGGATGTAGCTCAGTGCAAAGGCCCTGGACTCAATCTTCACTACCACAAATAATGGGGCCGGGGGTATCTGAGGGAATGGGCTGGCCTGGCTCCTGGCTTAACTGGCAAATTAAAAAAAGAAGACTTGGAGAATTGCCCAAGGTCATCCAACCAGGCAGTGGGGACTGGGATCACCCTCTCCTGTCTCCATGGAAACAGCAGGCGACAGGTGACCCTATCTAGCCAAAAGTAGCTCAATCCATGGGCATCCAGCGTCCCTGGATTGCTATGGCAACCGTAGAGCGTTGGGGGAGCCCAAGAAGAGGAGGGAAGCCTGGTGCCCCGCCCTTTGGACACGCCCCCGAGAGGCCTATCCCCATTGGTCAGTTCCCAATACCCCGCCCTCGAGCTGCTAAAAGGGGGTCAGTGGGCGGAGACTTGAGAGTTCAGGGTCGGTACAGGCAGCTGGTGGGGGCAGAGACTCAGCGGCCCAGGTGAGTGTGGTGCAGACGGCGTCCGGAAGCCTCTGCCAGGCTCTGAGATCCGGGTCGTGTGTTCAGCGAGGGTCCCGCGGCGTGGGTGGGGTGCGACGGGCCAGAGCAGGTGGCCGAGACCCTTGGCCCAGTTGGCTGAGGCTCAAGACCCAGTTGGGAGGGTACCAGGGCGCCGAGAGCAGCGGGTGGCAACGAGAAGGAAAAGCAGGCAGCAAATCTGAAGTTTGAGGTCGAGCTCCCCGCTGTGAGGCAACGTGGACCTGTGACGTGCCTCAGTTTCTCCGTCTGTTAGGTGAACTGTGCGGCTGATCGGGATTCTGCAGCCATGGCCTCCACCCTGGTTGGGGAGGGTGCTTGTGCAGGTCCGACCCTGGCACGGGCAGCAGGGACCCGCCCCACTGTACAGAAGAAATAGCCAGAGAGGGGATGGAGCCTGCCCAAAGCCACAGGGCGGCGCCCCCGTGCCAGCAGCACTTTATTGTGCACCTACTATGTGTCTATTGTCCAAGCCTTGCACGACGCCCTATTTCACAGGTGGGGAATGAGACCGCCACAGAGCCCAGACAGACAGGGTCCCAGGCCTGGGCAGGAGCCAGGAGGGCTGGCCTGGGGGGGAACAGACCCCTCACTGTCCTGCCCCCCCAGGGTGACCCTGTGTGCAGCCACCATGTCGGACAACGAGGCCACTCAGGGCCCCAGACCCAGCTTGGAGGAGCACAACCAACAGGTGGGGCTGCCCCTCCCCAGTTAGGGGCACCAGGAAGGGCGGGGGCCAGCTGTCCCTGGGATAGTTTCAAGCCAGGTGTCTTCTCCCCATCCTTGCTGGGAGAACCAGTTTCCGAGGATATCATGGGCCACGGAGGAGGCTCGGAACACCCAGCACCCTTCTGCCCTCTCTGAGTCCCTGCCGCAGCTCCTGCTGGCATCCACTGTGACCATTAGTGACCACAGTAATAGTAACCACAGCATTCACAGCAGATTTTTTCGTTGTTTTTTAAGACAAGGTCTTACTGTGTAGTCCCAGCTGGCCTTGAACTTGTGATCCTCCTGCCTCAGCCTCCTGGGTGTTGGGATGACAGGTGTGCACCACCACACCTAGCCCCAGAGAGGCCTAAAGGGGTCCCTCTGATGCCACCCTTCCCCACAGAATGTTGTACAGCGCGTGGTGGCCTTGCCGCTTGTCCAGGCCACCTGTGCCACCGTCTCCAATGCTTACAATGCCACCAAAGACAGACACCCGCTGCTGGGCTCTGCGTGTCGCCTGGCAGAGCACTGTGTGTGCAGCCTGACCACCTGTGCCCTGGACCATGCCCAGCCACTGCTGGACCATCTGCAGCCCCAGTGTGAGTCCTGGGACCCAGGAATAGCCCACTGCCCCAGCCTGGCCGGCTGCATGGCATGCTTTGCGGGTGCCTGAAGAGGTGTCCCTCTCCAGCTGTCCCTCCCCTCGGCCTGCAATGTGACATCCCTTTCCTTCCTTCTCTGCCAGCCCCTCCTCCAGTAGTCCCCTTCCGCCCTTCTCTCTGATTGTTTATTGGTGGCCCTGGGGGCGGGACCCAGGGCCTTTGCACTGAGCTCCGTCCCCAGCCCTTTGTATTGTTTCTTTTGAGACAAGCTCCTAAGTCACATCAATTGGCCGGGCTGCTTGTGAACCTCCTATCCTCCTGCCTCAGCCACCCCAGTGCTGAGAGGACAGGTGTGCGCCACCCTGCCCAGCTGCTGGCCTGACCCTCTCCCCACACCTGTCATCTCTGGTCCCTCCAGTCCCCTCTGCTCTGTGTCCGCCTGCCCTGAGCCCTCAGCCCTCAGCCCTGCACCATCTCCCACGCCCCCCCATCTCAGGGGTCCACCTGTGAAGGACGGGAAGACCCTTCGCCTCCAGAGTGACAGGGAAAGAGGTCACCTGGGGTCCCAGCTCCTCCACAGGGCTCCCGTGACCTTGAGCCGCCACCAGCGCTGTGGAGTCAGTCACCTTGGGGCTGAGCAGAAGGGCCGAGGAGGCAGCCCCCCCCCGCTCAGGGTCCCCAGTCCCTCCCAGGACCCCACCACTTGCTGGGAGCCCCCCACCTGTCGTCCTGTGGCCTGGCCTCCTCCATCCACCTCCCTCTCTCAGAGTGCAGGTGTCCAGCCCAGGACCTCTGGGGGCCACCAGCCACCTCCTGGGTTAGAGTCGTCCCTTCCTGTCCTCTCTCTCTCTCTCTCTCTCTCTCTCTCTCTCTCTCTCTCTCTCTCGGGTCTTGGTCTTGCTGTGTAGCCCAGGCTGGCCTCAGACTTGCAGCGATCCTTCTCCCGCCTCAGACTCCAGAGTGCTGGAGGACACTCTAGTACTCCCTCCCTCTGTATATCTCCATGTGTCCCTGTTTCTGCCCCACTCTTTCTTCAGTGGCCACAGTGAACGATTTTGCCTGCAGGGGCCTGGACAAACTAGAAGAGAAGCTGCCCTTTCTCCAGCAGCCTTCAGACACGGTACCGGGTGACCAGACCATGCATGGGCACCTAGGCAGTTGGGCCAGAGTTGAGCCGAGAGGGAGGGTTGATCCAGCTAGTCCTGGAGCAGGACCTAAAACTCCAGCCATGTAACATAACTGGCACTGACACACACCACACCGGTAGGTTGAAGCATTTATTCCCCCTTTATAAAGGGGAAACTGAGGCACAGAGCCAGGAAGCGGTACGAAGGATTTGGAGTCCCGGCCCCAGGGAGCTGGGGTCAGGAGACAGAGCCAGAGACTTGCAGTGTCTGGAGCAGGGGCCCCTTCTGCCAGGTGGTGACCTCGGCCAAGGATGCGGTGGTCAGCGGGGTCACAGGCGTGGTGGGCCTGGCCAGGCGGGGCCGGCGCTGGAGCGTGGAACTGAAGCGCTCTGTGAGCCACGCTGTGGACGTCGTGCTGGGCAAGTCCGAGGAGTTGGTGGACCACTTCCTGCCCATGACTGAGGAGGAGCTCGGTGAGGCCGGCACCCTCCCCACCCCCAGTCCAGGGTCTTGTCCATGGGGTTCAGATGAGACAGGTCTGGATCGGCCCCAGGCTGCACAGCACATCAGCAGGAAATGGAGCTCAAACCTTAGCCTGTGAAATCTTCAAATGTGTCATTCACTTTATGCATTTAAGATTTGGCACTAAAAATCCTGGTTTCTGGCTGGTCTTGAAAAGTGGTAAAGTGAGACACAGGCTAAATAAATAGTGTCTGTCTTTTTAGCCAGTTTCCGAAACCCCACCACTCCCCAGTATTTTACATACTGTCTCCAGTGATCTTTTGTGTGTGGTTTTTTTGTTTTGGTTTGGTTTTTTTTGGTACTGGGATCAAACTCAGGACCTTACACTTTTGAAGCAGGCGTGGTGCCACTGAGCTAAATCTCTGGCTCTTGTGTTTTGTTTTTTGAGATAAGGTCTTGCTATGTAGCTCAGCCAGGCCTCAAACTCGTGGAGATCCTCCTGCCTCAGCCTCCCAAGTGCTGGGACGACAGGCCTAAGTCACCATGCCCAGCTTGTGGTATATTCTTTTTTGTTTAGTTTTTTGAGACAAGTTCTCACTATTAGTCCAGTCTGGCCTTGAACTCACTGTGTAGCCCAGGCTGCCTTTAAACTTGTGGTGATCCTCCTGGTTCAGCCTCCCGAGTTCTGGGATTACAGGCCTGTGCCACCATGCCAGGCGATGTATTCTTTACAAGTCCATTTAATAGAATGGTTGAGCATAGTCTGGAGCTGGTGTGCTGGGGCTTGAATCCTGATCTGCCTCATGCACACTGTGGGCTAGCCACACTCTGCCTCAGTTTCCCTCATCTGTAAAATGGGGCAATAATAGTGCCTACGCTCTAGGGCTTGGGGAAGATGAAAAGGTGGGTGTTAATAGAGGGAAACCACAGCTTTGGGAGCCTGTGGGGTGTCTACCCCAAGGGTGGGTGACCAGCTCTGGAGGAGGTGGCCACGCTGACCCCGCCCGGCTCCTGTCCCAACCTTCAGAGGTGCTGGCGGCGGAGGCCCAGGGGCCAGAAGTGGGCTCAGTGGAGGATCAGAGAAGGCAACAGGGCTACTTTGTGCGTCTGGGCTCTCTGTCGACGAGGATCCGCCACCTGGCCTATGAGCACTCTCTGGGGAAACTGAGGCAGAACAAACACCGCACCCAGGATATGCTGGCCCAGCTGCAGGAGACACTGGAACTGGTGAGGATTCTCTGCTGCGGGCAGCAGATCGCCATTTGGGAGGAGCCGTGCTCTTCCCTCCCAGTGCATGCCCAACACACCAGCTCCTACTGCAGCTCTATGGGCAAAGTTTACAGGAGCCACCTGCTTCTCACCAGCCAGCCTTCTGCTCCTCAGCCCCCACCCCTCCAGCCCTTACCAGGCAGCCTGTCCTCGCCACAGCAGCCACGAGAGGGCGTCCCTGAGCACTGAGTCTTGTCCCTCCCTCCTCTGGCTTCAGCCCTCTACAGCCCCCACCTCCCTGGGCCAAAGCCAAGTCCTCCCTGAAGCCCACAGGGTCCTGTAAGGCCTGCTTGTCCCCTTCCCTCCTCCCTTCCTCCCTTCCTCCCTCTCTGCCCCTCGCTCCCTCTGTTCCACTCACACCCTTGTCTACTGCACAGGGCTCTGTCCTGCCCCAGGGCCTTTGCATGGCCGTGCCCTCCACCTGGTGTGCTTTATTTTCCTTCTTATCACCCTCTGTTTCCAGAACATGATAGGATCGGCTTCTTCATTTACTTTTCTTTTTTTGTGTGTGTGGAACCAGGGATCAAACTCAGGACCTTGCGCTTGCAAGGCAGGTGGCAGAACCACTGAGCTAAATCCCCAGCCCTTCTTAATTTACTTTATTGAAACTCCCCCTCTGGACTTTTTTTTTGTGCCAGTGCTGAGCATTGAACCCAGGACCCTGGGTGTGCTAGGTGAGTGCTTTGCCGCTGAGCTGCATCCCCAGCCTACCTGCTCAACATTTGTTTTGTGTGTTATTTTTTTTTTTTGGTACCGGGAATCAAACTCGGGACCTTGCACTTGTGAGGCAGGCACTGGAACTACTGAGCTAAATCCCTGGCCCTCAACTTTTGTTGAACACCTATGTTACACTAGGCCTTGATCAAGGCACTGCCCTACCCGCAGAACCAGGCAGCTCACAGCAAGAGCCAAGTGCTCATTCAGGAAACTGAGAGCTCAGTGTGTGCTCAGCGAGACATTGTGTGCTTTACTCACAATGGGCCAACAGGCTCTTGCATGGTCTCCATGTTTTCTTTTTTTTTTTGTAGCAGGGATCGAACTCGGGTCCTTCCACGTGGCGAGGCAGGCGGCAGAACCCCTGACCTAAATCCCCGGCCCCTAGCCTCTGTGTTTTCTAACACCCACTTCCTGTGTGTGGTCAATGTACAGAACACAGAGTTTACCACTTAACCATTCTTAAGTGCCCGGCTCGGCGGCATCGGCATCGAGCGCATCCCACAGCTGTGCCGTCCCCGCCGCCCACCTCCAGGGCTTTCCATCTCCCCAGCTGAGCTCTGTCCCAGGAAGCACTGACCCCCTCCCTCCCCAGGCCGGCACCATCCTCCTTCCTGTCCCTGTGGATCTGACCACCTCCTGGGGGTGGGGCCCTGCACTGCGTGTCCTCCTGTGTCTGCCACAGCTCCCTGAGCAGCACGGCCTCGAGGTCCATCCCTGCTGTAGCAGTGTCAGGACTTCCTTCCTTTTAAAGGCTGAGGAATATTCCACTATATCCATGGAAGACACTGAATTTTCGTTCCTCCTCTTCTGCTTCTTATATTGATTACTGAACCCAGGGCCTTCACACTGAGCTCCATCCCAGCCCTTTTTATTTTTTATTTTGAGACAGGGACTCACTAAGTTGCTAAGTTGCCCTGGCTGAGCTCAGACTTTCAATCCTCCTGCCTCAGCCTCCCAGAGTGCTGGGATGACATATGGATGTGTGGCACCCCCGGTGGCTTTCTTTCTCCTGTTTGCTTTTTGTGCTGCTGGAGATGGACCCCACGTCCCTGCTAACTAGGCAAGTGCCCTGCCCTTGCCCAACACCCCAGCCCTACCTTCAAGTCTTTTTTGTCTAAGTCTTTTTCTTTTTGAAGCAAAAACTTTATTAGTACAGTTTAGACATACCTAATGATCACATTCATCACTGGGAATTTGTACCCGTACATGGTATCTCTTGCTTCTTTTTTTCCCATTCCCCTCCCCTCCCTTCAACCCCTCTTCCCCTCCTTATTTACAAAAGCTTTGTTTCTATTTTTTCCTTCTATTCTTTTTTTCTTGTCCCTTCTTTCCTTTTTCCCTCCCCCTCCCTTGTTCCCCTTCTCATTTAAACATTTTCTTCCCATTTCCTAATATCTATTATACATTTTGGTCCTTATTTCCTATTTTGATTTCTCACACCAGAGAAACAAGGTGGTATTTGAACATGTGTGTCTGATTTATCTGACTTAAGGGTATGATCTCAAGGTGCATCCATTTAACTAGCAATGTCTCAAGCTTGACCTTCTTTATGGCAGAGTAATACTCTATTGTATAGGAAAACCATATCTTCTTTTTGTCCTGGGAATTGAACTCAGGACCTTGCACTTGCAAAGCAGGCATGGTGCCACTGAGCTAAATCCCCAGCCCAACATCTTCTTTATCCATTCATCAGCTAATGGGCATTTGGGCTATTTCCAAGATTTAGCTATTTCAAACTATGCTGCTATAAACATGGGTGTGCATATATTGCTGAGGTAGGATGCTTTTAATTCTTTTGGGAAGATACCAAAAAGGGGAATATCTGGGTTGAATGGAACCTCTAGTTTTAGTTTTTGAGGAATCTCCACATTGATTTTCACAGTGGTTGCACCAGTCTGCACTCCCACCAACAGCGGAGAAGGGTTCCTTTTTTCCCCCAAACCCTGCCAGCGTTTGTTACTGGCTGATTTCTTGATAATAATCATTCTTTCTGGAGGGAAATGGAATCTCAGCATTGGGATTTTGGGGGGGGTTTTTTTGTAGTGGGGATTGAACTCAGGACCTTGTGCTTTCAAGGCAGGTGGCAGAACCACTGAGCTAAATCCCCAGCCTCAGCGTTGTTTTAATTTGCATCTCTCAAATGACCAGTGATGTTGAACATATTTTTCATATATTTACTTGTATTTCTACTTCTTCATCTGAGAAGTATCTGTTCATTTCAGATGCCCATTTTTGGGTTGGGTCTTTAAATTTAGGGAGTCTGATTTTTTTTTTGAATTCTTTATATATTCTAGATATTAGTCCTTTGAGGAACATCTGGCAAAAAAAATTTTCCTAGACTGTGGGTTGCACTCTGTTCTACCTTCAATTCTTTTTTTTTTTTTTTTTTGGTAGAGGGGATCGAACTCGGGTCCTTGGGCTTGCGCAGCAGGCGGTGAAACCACTGAGCTAAATCCCCAGCCCCTACCTTAAATTCTTAATTCATGATTTTAAGATGTGGGAACACATCCTTGGGATGCGTCTGTCTCAGGTGGAGCCCTCAGGCTCCTGGGCCTTGGCCTGGACGCTGAAGGTGGGGTGTCCATCGTGTCCCTCGGGGGTCAGGACCGTGAGGGGGTCTGTTCGGCCCCCAGGGGACAGAGGGAAGGCTCCCTGCAGAGCGGGAGTGAACCAGGCAGGGGACAGGGTCTAGGGCAAGGGTACCGCAGGGACCGGCGTGGGGAAGGCCTGCATCGAAGCAGGGCTGCGGGTCATACCGGATCTCAGGCCATGGGCGGGCGAGGACGGGAGGATGGGCAGTGTGGCAGGTTGATTCGCAGTGATGCACACAGATAGTACTGAGTGAATGACTGTTCTTGGATTCAGAGTGGGCTCTGTCCTCTCCACCCTTCTGCCCTAAGTCCCACCCCTGTCTCTGTCTGCAGATCCACAGCATACAAAGTGGAATGAGCCCGATCCCCGCGTCCCAGCCCGGGAAGGTGCACGAGCTGTGGGAGGATTGGCACCAGCAGCCCCTGGAGAACGGCCGCCGGCACAGCCAGGTGGGGGCGGGGCGGAACCGGCAGAGGCGGGGCCACCGCGAAGGGGCGTGGCCAGGAGAAGCTTGGGCCGTGGCCAGGAGGGGCAGGGCGGAGGGATCACGAGGGGGCTGGGCCGGCAAGAGGCAGGACCAGGAAGGAGAGGGGAGGCCAGGGGTGGTGGGCGTGGCCAGGAGATGAGGTGGGGCCAATGGGGAGGCGGGGCCACGAGAAGAAGCAGGGACCTGGGAGTAAGTACGGGACCCAGAGAGGCTGAAGGGGAGTCCAGGGAGGGGGCGGGGCAAGGGAGAGGGTAGGGTCAGGGGGATGGGCAACGAGGAGAGAGGAGGAGAGAAGTGAGGTGAGGGCCAGGTGACGCGGTGGTGGATGGGGTAGAGCTGCCAGGTGAGGTTAGGTAAGGGGGTCCCGTGAGAAGGTAGCAGGGCCAGGTAAGAAGGTGAGATGATGGGGCTCGGGCGGGGTGGTGGCTCCGGGCAGGCTGGGCCAGGAGAGGAGCAGCGCGTGGTTCTGACTCCACCTCGGGGGCTACAAGGACCAGGCTCCAGTTTTCTCAAACCAAGTGCTGAGGTCAGCTGGTGGGGTGTTCGTGGGGAAAGTGCAGCAGGGCCTTGGGCCCGTAGGGGGAACTGAGGCAGCTAGAGCTGAGTCCAGTGTGGATCTATGAAGGGAGCTATGGCAGGCCCATATCCCTGTTTGCCCTGTCTGAGAAAATCAAAAATAAAGCTGGGCTTGGAGCCGCATGCCTGTCATCGCAGCTCTCGGAGGCTGAGGCAGGAGGATCACCACGAGTTCAGTGCCAGCCCGGAGACCTTGTCTCAAAACAATAACAACAGCAAACCCCAGCCCTGTTTGTGTCCGTTAGGAAAACGAAGACAGGCTGGTTTCTGTCGTGTGTCCCTGGGGAAAACTGAGGCTGCCTTCCTCCCCCGCAGGCGGAGCAGGAGACGCTGGTGCTGTCGCGCAGGCTGACCCTGGAGCTGCAGAGCTCCGTGGAGGCGCTGGAGGCGGGTGTGCGCGGCCTGCCTCCCGGGGCACAGGAGAAAGTGGCCGAGGTGCGGAGCAGCGTGGACGCCCTGCAGGCTGCCTTCGCCGACGCGCGCCGCTTCGGGGACGTCCCCGCCGCCGCGCTGGCTGAGGGCCGGGGTAGAGTGGCGCGCGCGCACGCGAGTGTGGACGAGCTGCTGGAGCTGGTGCTGCAGGCCGTGCCGCTGCCCTGGCTCGTGGGCCCCTTCGCACCCATCCTGGTGGAGCGATTCGAGCCCCCGCCAGACCTGGAGGTCCTGGTGGACGAGGTGGTGGGGGTTCCCGACCCGCGCTGGGCCCACATGGACTGGCCGGCCCAGCAGAGGGCCTGGGAGGCCGAGCACGGTGACGCGGCGGGGCGCCCCGGGGACAGCGGCCCCCAGGAGCCAGAGCCCCCCAGCTCCCTGGTGAGGCACACGCTGATGCCCGAGCTGGACTTCTGAGAGGCCGGGCTCCGTGCGCCCCCTGGCGCCCACGTGTGAGCACGCATGGCGAGGGCCTGGCCCTGACAGGATCAGAGCTGAGATGGGGCCGAATTTGGGATCTCCGGCCACCTCAGTCCCTACCAGGGCCTCCCACTTTTCCCTGGATCGCGAAGGCCTGGCCTCACGTCTTTTTTTTTTTTTTTGTACTGGGGATCTAACTGGGGACCTTGCGCTTGGCGGGCAGGCAGCGGAACCACTGAGCTAAATCCCCAGCCCTCCCCCCTAGTCATCTGTACCTCTGAGCTGGGGTCTTCAAAGCCTGTGGTCCTCTCCCCAACCTGAAAGGCCAGGCACACGTCTGTCTGCGAGGACAAAGCAGCAGGATCGCTATGAGTTCAAGGCCAGCCTGGGCTACATAGGAAGACCCTATCTAAAAACAGAAACAAAAACAAACGTGCCCAACCTGGGCAATTCAGCAACTTAAAGAGACCCTATCTAGAAAGTAAAAATAAAAAGGGCCGGGGGATGTAGCTTAGTGCTAAGGCCCTGAGTTCAATCCTCAGCACTGGGGAGTGGAAGTGACCAAAACAAACAAACAAATCCATATTGTTCCATGGCTTCTGTTCGGGGCTTCTTCTTCTTCTTCTTCTTCTTCTTCTTCTTCTTCTTCTTCTTCTTCTTCTTCTTCTTATTATTATTATTATTATTATTATTATTATTATTATTATTATTATTATTATTATTATTATTATTATTATTATTATTACTTTTTGGGGTTTTTTTGTGTTTGTTCCCCAATCTGGTCTTGAACTTGCAGTGATCCTCCTGCCTCAGCCTCTCGAGTGCTGGGATGATGGGCATGCACCACCACACCTGGCTTGTTTGGAGCTTTGAACAGTGAGTCCCCACACAACCCCAGACCAGATGTCCTTAACTGAGGGTCCCCCAGAGATGCCCGGCTGTGCCCACTCAGCCAACTGGGGCCTCTTGCTATGTTTGCTCTTGAGAATAAACATGTTTTGTGTTATCCAAGGCTTGCAGCCTCTCTCCCAGCTGGCGTGGGTCTCAGAACTGGGGTGCTGGGAGGCTCAGAAGGGTGTGGCCACAGGGACATGGACAGTGGGTGTTCCCAGGCAGCACTCGAGACTAAAAAGGAGCAGTTCTGCCCTGACCAGCTGGCCTGGGTTGAGCATGGTTTAACCTTACATCTACCTCGTGAGAAGCCAGTCTCACTTTAGTATAAATGAATTTCTTGGAAATGGCGGGGAGCAGGACAGAAAGGGGAAGACCTGAGATCTGGTGTCCCCTCTCCTGCCCGCCTCCCCAGACATGCACCAACTGGTCTGGCTGTGGTTTCTCTAGCTGGTCAGGAACAGGGGAAACAGAGGCAGGGCAAGGGCCACGGCTGGTCTCCCGGGAGCCCTCCTGTCCCCTGACCCCATTTTCAGCTGCCCGTCAGACCCCAGTGGCTGGACAGGATGTTGGGAAATCATGATTCAGTGCAGTGAGGTCAGGGTGGTCCCTCACCCTGGGAACTGGTCCAGAGGGCGGCTCTGGAAGCCCCATCACTTCTTGTCAGGCAGATGCCCCTCCCTGCCCCTGCTCTAGGACCTCCATGGCTCCCTAGTGCCCTCAGACCAACCACCAGCCTCCCAGCCTCCTCCTCTAGCCCCCTACAGATACTCAGCTCCATGCCATGGACGCCAGACCCACTGTCCAGCTCCAGCCCTGATGCCTCCTCCTGCAGGCAGCCCTTCTGGACTTCACCCCAGTGGGCTCCTCCTGCAACTCTTGTCCTCCTGCACAAGACTGCCTGTCCTACGGGGCCAGGCCTGGGAATGGGGGACAGAAAGGGATGTGACAGTAGGAGTCAGTGTGGCTGGAACGGAGGGGAAGGGACAGAGCCTAGGACTGGGTGGGTGAGTGGCATCCCCTCTCCACACCCATCTTCGCCCCTGGGAAATGCTGTGGACCATGAAGGATCTGGCTGGGGTATTTTTTTTTTTTTATCATTTTTGGGATTTTTGTTTTGTTTTGTTTTTGGTACCAGGAATCAAACTCGTGACCTTGCGCTTGTGAGGCAGGCACCAGAACCACTGAGCTAAATCCCCCGCCCATTTTTGTTATTTTAAATTTTTGCTGGCTTTCTCCCACCACACTAGGCTGCGGGCCCTGGGAAAGGGAGGATGTGCCCATGGATCCCCTGGTCACCCTTGGGAAGCACTGGCTGAGATGCAGAGGTGGGGGATACCCCCTCTTCCAATCCCCAACTGTTTGGCAAACACAGCGACGGCTCCAAGGAGATGCCCTGGGGTAGGGGCATCAGGCCAGCTGCCAGACCCCCTCCTCCCAGCATAGCACCCAGAGCCACTGGCCCTGCCCTTTGCACGTAGCTGGCATCCTGGCCCCTGGGGTGAGCTGGCATGGGCACGGCACTCACCCACCAATCACCCATTTGGCACAAGGAGTCTCCATTTGCGCGTGATACTGGCTCTGCCCCCTTCCTGTCTCTGAGGCCTCGGGAGCCACCAGGCTGGGGTCTCATTCCTACAGCCCCCCAGCTCTGCTGTGCTTCATCTTGGTCTCCATTTCTCTCTTCTATAGAGTGACACCTCCACCCGTTCCTCCCAGAGCCTCGGGCTCTGCCTGGGCAATGCTACGCTGGTGTTTGTTGAGTGTCTACGTGAGATACAGGGGTAGACAGGTCACACCTGTGTGTGACCTCATGTTTCAAACTCACAACCACCCTGTTGACCTGTTCAGCCACACATTTCTCAAGCATTGAATGTGTGCGAGGAGACACTGTTCTAGATGCTGGGGCACAATACAGGCTTGACACAGGTGAGAGACAGTGGGAGCCATGCAGGTATCTAGGGGAAAGGTGTTCCAGGGAGAGAACAGGCTGTGCAAAGGCCCTGAGGTAGGATGGAGCCTGGAGCATTGTAAGAGAAGGCAGGAGGCCCATGTGGCTGGAGCAGAGGGAGTCAGTGGAAAGAAGGTTTAGGGAGGCCACCCTGTGGGGTACACTGAGGAGTGTGGAAAGGGAAACTGGGGTACAAAGATGCAATCTGATCATACCATTGCATTGGAACAGGTTTCTGAACTGTGCCCACCCCAGAGGGGAGGCAGAGGCCCCAGTAGGGAATCTGGGAGGCTGAGTCACTCTGCCTGTGGTGGGCGGGTCTGTGGGCCCAGGCACAGAGCAGAGGAAAGGTGCTGGGCCCCGGCCCACGTAGGGCGGGCGGCCACATCAACACCAGCCCCCCCAGCCGCTGGCTGCTTGGCTGCCTGCCTCTGCGGGCCGGCTGGCCGCACCACCCAGACCCTATAAGGCCTGGGAGTGCGAGCAGAGCCAGCTGCCAGCTGCAAAGTCTCCCTCCGAGGGCGACCAACAAGTCTGGAGAGCAAGGCTTAGCTGCCCAAGACGCCAGGCCCAGGTGGGTGTCGGGGTGGCCTGCAGACCCAGGGCCACATGGTGTGGGGTGTGAAGGGGGACCCTGACTCGGCCCCTTCTCTGCCCTTCCAGCTACTCAGATTGCTGTCATGTCTGCTCCGGAGCAAGGGGGCCAGGACCCCCCCAAACCCAAGGGCAAGGTAAAGGGAGGGGAGGTCCCTGCTGGGGCCCTGAGACCCCCAAAGCCCAGGAGCGCCCACAGTCCTGGGGTCCCTAGGGTCCTCCCAGGTGGGGAGGAAACCAGCTCTCCCCTTGTCCCAGGCTGGGGTCGGAGACAGCCATGCAGCTCCCAGAGCCTTCCCTGCAGGATGACCCTGTCCCTGAGCCTCAGTTTCCCCATCTGTGCCATGGTGCCAGGAAGGAAAGGGTCTTTTCCTCTGCCCACTGTGGGCCAGGTAGGGGGGCTGGCCAGGCACGGTGGCTCAGACAGCCAAAGTTGCCCAGGAGCGAGGGCTGAGGTGGGCTGGACCCCAGGGCTCCCTCCTGCCTCACCCGGTCCCCACTGCCACCCCACAGACCCTGGGCAGCTTCTTCTCATCCCTGCCCGGCTTCAGCTCTGCCCGGAATCTGGTGGCTGGTGCCCACGGTGCCATGAAAGAGGCCAGGCCGGCCGCCGCCCCCACAGGTCCCTCTGGCTGTGAGGCTCAAGGTGAGTGACACCACTGTGGGGTGAGACAGCAGCCACCCTGCGCCAGCAAAGAACACTCCTGGGGGCGACCTCTGGCTATCTGGGGACGCTTTGGACACCTGCATCACCTCACTAGCCACAAGTCTCTCATGCTCATTTAGAACGGGATAGGGAAACTGAGGTATAAATACGGGGAGTGAGTCACCAGGGAGGCAGAGCCAGCCACAGCAGGGGTCAGAACCCAGCCTGTCTCCCTCCAAAGTCCCCCACACTCCCTCTGCCCGCCATGACCCCCCGTTTCTGTGGCACCACAGACCAGCCTTGGAGCTTTGCATATCTGAGCCTGTGACAGCCCTGGCTCCCAGAGAGGGGCAGCAGCTTTCTGGAGTCACACAGCTCCCTGTGACCCAGCGGCTGCCCTGGGGAACCCAGGGGTGGGTGAGCACCAGGACTGGGCTGTACTTTGGGCCTGGTGCCCTGAGCAGCTGACTTCTGTCCCAAATGCCTTGGTGACAGGCAGCTGGCAGCTGTGGCAGGGGCGGGATGGGCCCACCCCCACCCACCCTCACGCACCCCAGACTCCACGGCCCGACTCTTGAGTAGGTGTCCAGCACCCAGGAGCCCACAAGGAACCCCACGGGCCCCCCTCCAGGGCACTACAGCAAGGGGACCTCGCCTGGCTCCTGGCTGTGGATGTCACCTCCCGCTGTCCCTGGAGGAATGCCCGGCATATTCCTGACCTTTTGGGCTGAGCCTGGCAATTGCAAAATAGGCATCAGGGCAGCTGTGTCCTTCACCCCCTGACCAGCCTCTGTCCCTGCAGCGACCACTGATCCAGAAGCCATGGCCAGGGCCACGGAGAAGCTGCCACAGCCTTCAGAAAAGGTGATGCCAAGCCCGGGGGAGAAGGTGCTGGTGTCCCTGCCATCCAGGCGGGGGCGTGGGGGTCACAGCCGGGCAGAAGTTACATGTCCCTGTGCATCCTGCCTGGAGGATTCTGGGAGTTCCTCCCCTCTAGGTCTCTGCTTCCACATCCGTGAAATGGGCACCAGGTCCTGGGGATTCCGACCTCCTAGCTGCTCCCTGAGCACAGCAGTCATTGGCCCCATGACAGCAGCAGCACAGAGAAGCTGAGCCGCTGCTGAAGGTCACACAGCAAACCGGCTGGGCAGAGTCTGAGATCTGAGGCGTCCGAGGACAAGCTAGGTCCTGCTTCACCCCTGTAGGGCCTCCTGTCCCAAATCAAAACACCCTGGCAGCTGAGGCCACACGCCCACTCCCCACCCTGGCATTGAGCACCTGCTGTGTTCCAAGTTCATTTCCTCACCATCTTTGGAGGAGGGCCTTTAAAAAATTTAATAACCCTTTATATACATATAGGCATATATATATATATATATATATATTTTTTTTTTTTTTTTTTTTAAGGAGGGCCCTTTTTAAATCTCATTTTTCTGGCAGGGTGTGGTGAAGCTTGCGTATAACCTCAGCACTAGGGAAGCTGAGGCAGGAGGATCACTGCAGATTCAAGGCCAACCTGGGCTGCATAGTGAAACCCTGTCACAAACAAAACAAAACAAAACGGGCTGGGGATTTAGCCCAGTGGTTCAGCCGCCTGCCTTGCAAGCCCAAGGACCTGAGTTTGATCTCCGGTACCAAACCAAACCAAACAACAACAAAACTCACCTTTCAGTCCAGAGCACAGGCTCAGAGAGGGCCTGAAGCAAGCTTGAACCTGAGTTGCTCCAGACCCCACGGTGCCAAGGCCAGGGATTGAAAATAGTTTCAGAGTTTCCCAACTTTAGTGCTGTGGAAGTTTGGGGCCAGGCCTTCTCTAGGGTGGGCAGTGGGCACTGAGGGTGCTTAGCAGCATACATGGTGTCCACCTGCTCCATGCCAAGAGCTTCCCTGGTCACAAATGTCCCCAGATGTGACCTAATGTCCCCTGGTGGGAAGTGGAATCGCCCCAGGTAAAACTTCCTAAATTCAAAACAGCACATTCATGGTTACATCTGAGGGTGGTAACCATGAGGCTGTTGCCACCTTTATTTTGTGCCTTAGCCCTCAAAAATCTGCCCATGGGAGGCCAAAACTGGTTAAACTTACCCACAAGGTCTTGGGCCTCAAACCCTGCCTTACTTCTCTGGTTATTTTTTCTAAGTCTTGATTATCTTCTTTTATTTTATTTATTGGCACTAGGGATGGACCCCAGGGCCTTGTGCATGCCTGGCGGGCATTCACTACTGATCGACATTTCCAGCCCTTTTTATTTTTGTAAATTTTGAGACCGGGTCTCGCTAAGTCACTAAGTTATCCAGGCTGGCCTTGGACTTGCCATCCTCCTGCCTCACTGGCTAATGTAGATTTTAATTAGAAAATTGGCTTCTATGTTGCTGGGTGACCAGGTTCAAAATCTGCCATAGAGAAAAGGCCAGAGGAACAGGAACACATAATTCTGTTTGTTTGTTTTTTGGTACTGGGGATCGAACTCCGGTCCTTGCGTTTTCGAGGCAGGCAGCAGCACCACTGAGCTAAATCCCTGGCCCTTGGGAACACATAATTCTGTAACTTGGCCATGGCAAGGGCTCAGCAGTACCAGGGGCCACTGTGATCAGAGCTGCAAAAGGCCAGGAGGGTGCCGGGCAAGGGGTGGGTAGCAGGGCGTCTGGCTGCCCCCATCCCTGCCCAGGCCCATCAGGGAGTGAAGATGGCAGAAGTCTGGACTAGAGGGCCTCTGCATTGTGCTGACATCCTGTGTCCTTTTACAGCAGATGCCCAGATCCAAGGATGCCGTCTCCTCTGGGGTGACCAACATGGTGGATGTGGCAAAGGGGGTTGTCCAGGGAGGCCTGGACACGACACGATCGGCACTCATGGGCACCAAGGATGCAGTGGCTGGAGGGGTCATGGGGGTGGTGGGCATGGCCAAAGGGGTCGTGCAAGGGGGTCTGGACACCACGAAGTCTGTGGTAATGGGCACCAAGGACACAGTGTACACTGGACTCACAGGGGCAGTGAACGTAGCCAAAGGCACAG